CCTTCATCATTGAAATTGATGGGAGAGAAATATCTATCCATTGTAGTTAAAAAAAAAAAATTGATGTAGAAGAAATAAAAAATTAAAGAAGGAGAATTGGAATATGGAAATATGAATTGAAAATTGCAAAAACTAATAAAAATTAAAATAAGAGCAAATTGATAACAAAGAGAATAATTGAGAGATTAGAGATTAGAGAAAATGAGAGAATGAGAGAATTTGAGATGTGAGAAAATATGAGAGTTTAGGGCCAATTTATAGAAAAAATGGGAAAAAAAAATGACGAAAAAGACCCCTTCGACTGCTATAAAACGGCTATATTTCAAGGTTAAAAGGGGTATTCGAAAAAAATTAATTAACTAATTAGTTATTTATTATTTTTCGGCAAACCCGCCGGTCAACCCGGCGGGCCTTCTCCAAAAAAGCTAAAATAGCAACTCGCGGATCACCAGGTTGCCATATATCAACCCGACCTGCCCGGGGGTTGCATGCGGGTTGGGTTCAACCCGGCCCGCCTTATTGGCGATCCGGGTTGAACCCTCTTTAATGCGGGCCGAGTTAGGGTTGACCTGCCTAACCCGGCCCATTTGTTCCACCTCTAAGCAGACATAACCTATTGCAAGCTGACCAATTACAAACTGATACATCGCGTTTGTGAAAGAAAATTAGTGAGAAGAATTCATGTGTGTAGTATTACTATTTTATATCTAAAAGTAAAAGTTAAAAGAAAAAAGTTGGGCCTAAGAAGACTTTGTCAAATAACCATATTGGATCGGTTTTCTTCAATCATTGTTTTGGGGTGAAACCTACTAATTTCCCTAAACCTTAGGGAGGGGCTTAGAAATTGGCCTATTTTTTTTTTTTTTTTTAGATATGCTCTTGTCCTAGCATTTTTTTTCCACTTTACAAAAATTATCATTTATATTTTGTTATATTACAACCATTGATAAGAGCTTGAAAATACATGCTTTGTTAGTGATTCGATTGGATTATTTATAGAAAAATGTGTTTTTATTGTGAAATTTAGTTAATTATTTCATAAATACATTTTATGGGATCACGGGTATATTTTGAGTATTTTCAGGTTATAAACGATATTTGAATGAAGAAAAATGATGTTGATGGAATTTGTGACGAGTGAGAACAAACGGTGCAAGAATCGTAATTGAAATGAGGAAGTTATGATGTGTTGAATATGAGACTTAAAACCTGGAAATCCTTTAAGATGAGCATGCTTCAATTTTTTTATCATAACTTGAGCTGTAGAAATCAGAATTTGATGATTCTTGTGACGTTGAAAATTTTATTCAGAGAGATACAAAGTTTGTGTTGATGACTTCACCAAATTCTGAATATTCCAGACTCGTGGGACAGAAAGAAAGATCGCCTTAGCGACTGTTTTTGTTGTTGCAGTGATTCATTGCGGGCCTATTTGGGTTATTATTTTCCTAGTCCGAATTTGACTGGTTCGAGGCATTTAATTCTTTCCTAATTAACCTTCAAACCCTAACACTATAAATAAAAGTCTTTAATTAGTTTTCAGGGAGATTAGAGAAGGAGAGAGAGCGGCTACTATTTTGGATATAAGAATTCTTGCAGTTTTCGTTCACCAATTAGAGAAGTTTTTCTATTTTCCTTCTTGAACTCATGTTATTGAATATAATAGTTGTTTCTAGTATTGCAATTATGAACTAAATTTCTTTTCTACGGTTAAAGATGTAGCCCAATTCATGAATATGTGTTGACGTTATTGTTGTTAATTTTAATTAAGCATTAATTCTAAGTTTTATTATTATGTGTAATGTTTTCAATTCTTCTGGATTCGAGAGTTGAATGATATCATGAGTTGGGTTAAAATCGAGAGATAAAACCTAATTAGTCTAAGGTAATACAACCACAGATTGAGCGAATGCTAGAGATAAGTTACTGTGATCTGTGAGGCTCTGATAAATTTCATAGAACTTAAAGCCTGTTTGGCTGGGCTTATGAAAATTAGAGCTTACAAGTATTTAAAATTTAGCAGTTATGTATTTAGTTAAAATACTTATAAGTGACTGATAAGTAGTTGATGAGTTTGGTAAAATGTGGTTTATAAGTACATTTCATTAGTAAAATGACTAAAAAGAGTACTACATTATTAAAAATAAGGGTATAGGATGAAATTTTAAAATTAAAAAGGGGTAATGTGGTTATATACTTGATCAAAGTAGCTTATAAGCAAAGTGCTTATAAGCGAGAAAAAAAAAAGTGTCTTCCCCCCAGCTTTATATATATATATATATATTTTCTTATAAATCCAAAAAAAGTTATAAACAAACAGGTCAACTTAATTTTAGAGCTTATAAACTAGTTTGATTAACTTATAAGCTCAAACAAACACCCCTTTAATGATCTTTTAACTTCTAAATCCAACGTAGAAATATTTTGAGTTGTTGCTTAAGAGTTAATTTGCTAATTGTTTGAGAGAAAGTTAGTAAAATACTAGGGAATTTGGCCTTTAGAATAAGCTTAATTAGGTTAGCAATAATTTTTAATACATATGATTAAATTGGTGTGAAATCTGTGCCCTAGGTTTAGCCATATTGATATTTTTATCAAAGTATTAATACAATTTTTTTCTTGTTTTAGTTTTTAGTTTGTTTTATATTTCATTAAATCATTCCTAAAATTTTGTTTTATCAAATAGTAATGAAATAGATTAGTTTGATACTGGATAAGTAGTTTTCTTGGGATTCGATACTTGTTTACTCGAACTTTACTACTTGTACGATTTCGTACACTTGCGAATAACCTGTCGACCATTCATTTAGCAAACAATATATTATAGAACTTAAATTAAAAGAAAACTTCAGAAGTAATTACAAGCTTAAAATCTTGTATTATATTCTTCGCATTTAATATGTTTCTTTGTAAAACTTACTTCTTCATTAAAAACTATTTTCTTTTATATTAAATAATATTTGAATTTCATTAAATTAAGTTTGAATAAGAATATAAGAAGTTAAGTTTGGTAAATACAGTATAACAAGTATGGTGTCAAAAGTATTTATATAAAATAAAATATTGAAGATATATTTAGACTGGTTCATTATTCTGATAGTTTTTAGAATAATCTTTTGAAAAAAGTTAAATTGGGCGGGTATTAAGATGTGGGATTTGGAAATTAACAAAAATATCTCATATGTTTGTTTATTTACTAAACACCCATATAATAAAATATTAAAAGTTAACAAAAATACCCCCAACCCACCCATTAAATATGGACAGCTAGCCACCACCGCCGAAGGGTGGCTGGAGTATTTTTGTAATTTCTAAAAAAAAATATTTGGGGGTGTTTAGTTAAATTAACAAATTTAGGAGATTTAAAAGAAATTGAAAAGTATAGAATAATATTTTGAGAATAATAACATTTTACTGTATAACTTTTTTGGGAATACTAATACTAATAATAGTATTCCCAAAAGTGAACCAAATGAAGCGTTAGTTTTTAATTTAATAATAAATATTAAAAAGTAAGAATTCTTAAACCACTACCATTCTCTAGAAAATATTTTTGACTTGTCAAATTAGCCCGAGGTTAAGGCAATTGGGAAATGTCGGTTCAATATGAACATGGCACCGTAATTTTCTTGTCTAGTACGAGGCGTAATATCTTTTGTCTCATGTGGTGTTGTAGCTGGACCTGTATGTGAACAAATTTATCATATTATACGAGTGGAGAATCAATGCAATTTCAGCTCCAAATTCTCTTAGCTAAATACATTGTAATATTGTGGCTCAAGCTACCGAATCAATGCTTAAGCCTTGATTTTTTTTTCTCCTTTTTATTCTCTAGGCACCATATAATTGAAGCAGGAAATTGCTAATAATGGTATAGATTTTGGCTCGTTTCTTTTAGGAAGTTTCCTTCACCAAAAAGGAAGTTTCACCACTGTAATGAAACGTGCATAGCTAGCTCTATCATGTCTTAATACTTTTATTTCATCATTTGTATATACAGTCTCAAAGAATAAGATAATTTGTACAGAACATTTGACAATAAGAGCGTATGTATCGAGATGACTTTTGAAATTCGTTAAAGCTCAAATGAGAAACCGTGGAAGAAGGGGAATTCCTAAGTTCCACACATTTTTTTATGGATAGCATTAAAAGAGAGAAGAAGATTTGCAGAACCCTTATTAGCTGTCAAAATGTCATCTTATGCTCTAATTTATCCGTTCACATGCGCTGATGGACCACACGATTATGATATTTGAGTGACAAATTTTTGTACATTCGTTATTGTGTCTTCACAATGATTCAGTACTTTGATAACATGGACCGTCGATTGGCGATTGAGAATCCTGGATAGTGCCAATTTAACTGACTTTATTGTCTCTTTTGATGTTTGTGCGATTGAAATTGAATATGCCTCTTCTTCTCCTACAGTAAATTGACTCCATCAGAATGGGTGGTGCTGGTTGATTTTCAATAATCTCTACATTAATGTTTCATATTAAAGATCTAAGTAATGCTCGCATAATGCATTTCGTTTTCTTCCATTTGTATCCAAGGATTTTTTGGCTTATGTTTACTGTGACTCTTCAATAGTTGTCAATTCACAGTTCACTCAATTGAACTTCAGGGTGCAAAGAACGATTAATAAGTAGAATTATTAGGTCTTTCTAATTGTTTCAGGAAAATAAGGTTGGTCAGTCTTACCTGAAATTTTAAAGCAATTACTGCATCAATAAATCCTGAATATGACCGGCAGATATTTTCTACTATGACAGAAGTGCAAAAGATGCTTCTTTCCGCTCCTTTATCTCAAACAAAAAGAGAAATCTTGTTGTTATCTGGAAAATTTATTGCCATTGCCTATGCACTAGAGAGCCCATCATATGTCGTTTCTCCCATATACATTGAGCTTTACCATGCACGTGAAATCTTGCATGGGGCCTATCCCTAAAATCCTGGACAATAGCAAAAAATATCCACTCTATAAAAACATGAACCAATTCTTTGGCACACGCAATCTAAATCAACCAACACCAACGATACTGATGAAGATGATTCTCCCAATCTTCGTCCTTTCGCTCCTCTTCTCCTCTTCCTACGCCGCGGTGCAGGACTTTTGCGTTGGAGACCTTTCGGCCCCTGAAGGCCCTGCAGGCTACTCTTGCAAGAAGCCTGCAAAGCTCACAGTTGATGATTTTGTTTTCTCTGGCCTTGGAGCTGCTGGTAACACCTCAAACATTATCAAAGCCGCTGTGACACCGGCGTTTTCTGCACAATTTCCTGGTGTAAATGGCCTTGGTGTTTCCGTGGCCCGTTTAGACTTGGCCCCTGGAGGAGTTGTGCCAATGCACACTCACCCTGGAGGTTCAGAAGTTCTCATCGTTGTCCAAGGCTCAATTTGTGCCGGCTTCATTTCCTCCGCTAATGCAGTTTACTTTAAACCTTTGAAGAAGGGTGACATTATGGTTTTCCCTCAAGGTTTATTGCACTTCCAAATAAATGCAGGGGGAGGTCCGGCCTTAGCATTTGTTAGCTTCAGTAGTCCAAGTCCCGGCCTCCAAATCCTGGACTACGCTTTATTTGGAAACAATTTGCCTTCTGAATTGGTAGAGAAGACTACTTTCCTAGATGATGCTCAGGTTAAGAAGCTCAAGGGTGTTCTTGGTGGCACTGGATAAGGTTAATCGTGTTTATGCAGAGGTATTACAGCCTCCCATTGGTGTCTTTTATTCAATGCTTTGCCGTTTCCTTAGGTTTTATTTTAGCACGAACCATAAGTTTTAGGGGTTCTTCTCACTTCTTCCTGTCAGTGGTAGTTTACCTGTTCGCCGATAAAAAGAGTCTAGTTAATTGTTTACTTTTTTTGGAGGTGAATTGGTTCTGTTCTTATTCAGTGTATCCATCTGTAATAAGAAGCAATCTTATTGTCACCGTGGATTCATAATATTTAATGTACAATTCCATGTCATTATCTCTTATCTCTTAAATGATAGTAATTCGTGAAGTTATTGATACATTTATAAAAAGAAGAAAAAGAAAAATAGTCTTTAGTTGGACAATATACATCATCATTTCAATAAAATTAAGCACTCCATACATTTTTCGAAGCGAAGACAGTGAAATAGAGCTTTTAACTAATAATATTTAGCTGTTTAATATCAAATATATACTAAGCATGTTGATGATAATGGTAGCAGGAAGCTTTGAGATTATCATATCTCTGAGAAACTAAATAAGGACAACCTTATCAACAATTTTATATGGTCCAAATTTCTCAACTTATCTGACATACCAAGATGATAATGCAATCCAATCACAGGGTAGCTGGAGAGTCAAAAGAGGAACAAGAACTTTAACTTGACATGATAAGCCATTTGAATTTTACTTGACATTATTGGTGAGAAGAGTCTACTCTATTATGTCTAAATTAATACACATATATACTGTTTAATACACACATACACTATTCAATAAAAATGATGATCCCACTAACTTGATGATGTGGGACCAAAACAAATTTTAATAAGAAGACCCAACTAGGAAGCCCTAGACTCTACAATGGGCTTTAAGTCAAAATACAATTAACATCATCCTCAAACTTAAGGTGGTAAGAGTAACTACCAACTAAAGTTTGTTAAGAAGATCATGAAATTGCCTTGGAGGAAGTATTTTGGTGAAGAGATCCACAAGTTGTTTGGTAGAAGAGATAGAAAGAAGGTGCAAACCTTTATTTGAATGTGATCTCGGATGAAATGAAAATTGTCCTCAATATGTTTAATATGCTTATGAAACACGTCATTATGCGTTATTTGAACGTCACTTTAATTGTCACATAGGAGAGTACTCCTTGAAAGCTGTATGTCAGAAGCCATCTCAGCCAAATAAACTCAGAAGTAGTATCAACCAAAGCTTGATACTCAGATTTAGTACTCGACCTCACAGCAACTAACTGCTTCTTGTCTTACTAAGAAACTAAGAAATCACCCATGAGGAAACAATAACCAGTAGTAGATCATCAATCAATCAAATCACCAGTGCAATCAACATCAAAGTAAGCATATAACTGAAGAGATAAGGTAAATGGAAAGTGAAGTCCATGAAACAAAGTACCTTTCACAAACCTCAAGATCCGAAAAACAACTGCATAATTAGTAGACCGGGGAGTAGACATAAACTGACTAACCAAGTGAACTACATAGGAAATATCTGGTCGAGTAACAATCAAATATATGAGGCTCCTAACAACCTGGCGATATCGAGTAGCATAAAAAAGAGGCTCCCCATCTGTAGCATGAAGCTTGAGATTGGTCTCTAGAGGAGTGGTTTCAATCTTAGTATTAAAGAGACCAACTCAAGACAAAAGATCAATGGCATACTTAGCTTGGGACAAATAGTAACCATCATTCCCACCAGAGACCTCCAAGCCTAAAAAATAATTAAGATTACCCAAATCCTTCATCTCAAAGTGTTGATGAAGATATTGTTTAAGATTATGGATGCCAACAATATCATCAGTTGTAATAATCATGTCATCAACATACAGAAGGAAAAAAAATATCACTCTTAGACTTCTTAGTGAACAACATTGAATCAAAAAGATTGGAGACAAACCCAAATTGCGTAACTATATCACTGAACTTAGAGAATCAGACACGAGGGGCTTGTCTAAGACCCTACAAGGCTCACTATAATCGACAAACCTTGTTAAGAGGATGATCACACCCTGGAAGATGTTGTATATAGACTTCCTCTTTCAGATCCTCGTGCAAAAAGAAATTCATGACATCCATCTGATAAAGTGGTCAGTATCTAACAGATGCAACAACAATGAGACATCTTATAGAAGGAAGAAGGGCAACAATTGCAAACATCTCCTATAATAAATCTCGTACTTCTAAGTAAAACCCTTAGCCATTAGAAGAGCTTTGTAGCGCTCAATTGACCCATTTGAGCGAGTCTTGATTTTGTAGATTCATTTACACCCCATAGCAGACTTATCAAGAGGTAAATCAATGAGATACCACGTATTGCTATTCATCAATGCTTGCAACTCTTTCGGCATTGCTTGCTGCCAAAGAGGGTTGAAGTTGGTCTCATGGAATGTGCGAGGCTCATAGAGAGAAGAAATAGCAAAAAAACAATGAAAATTACGAAGATGAACAAAAGGTTAAGTTATCCTTGTAGAATGACGCATATGAGGTGGTGAAGGGAGAGACACAAAAAGTTATGTAGGAGCAAGATTAGCAGGCAGAGCAGGATCTCTAGGAGACCCCGGCTCAGGCATGGTCAATGGAAGCTCACTGGATGAATCTGTAATGTTAGGAAACAACTCAACATAATGATTAGTGAAATGAGGAACAAGATGGGTTAAAACATGAAATTTGGATATATAACTGAACACGGTGTATTAAAAAAACATGTCTCAAGATATGAAGATATTTGGATAGAGGATCCTGACATCTATAAACCTTATACTCAATCCCATACCCAAAAAAATAGCAAAGACACGCATGTGGCTCTAACTTAGTGTACTCATGAAGTTAGAGAAGAACAAAACAAGCACAACCAAAAACCCTAAGAGAATTGTAGTCAAAAGAAGTACCATAAAGACGTTTATTTGGAGTTTGATTTGCAATCTGATGAACAACCAAGAAGGTTGGTATACCGTAGGAAGGGCAAGGGTAGAAAGTAGAGGAATAAGTGCTAACATTTGTGTGTAGAAGGTTAGAGTTTGTTTAGAAAGGACAGATGACAGATGGCTTGACAGGAGTGAATATAGGAAGATTCGGTTAGGAGCACAAAAGGTGCCAGGAGTGAATAAAAACAGAGAGGCGAGAGAAAGAAGAATCAAGAAGGAAAAAAGTAATTGGAAGGGAGGCAACTGACCCTCGAAGTCAGTATTTTAAGAGGTGACTGACCCTCGAAGTCAGCCATTGGTTTACCATTTTTCTCTTAGTGTACTTGCTGTATTTTCCAGTTTATTTGCTTATTGATTACTGATAGGATCAGGTTACTGGAAGTATCTGCTCTGGTTGTACTGTTCTGTGTGGATATTAATATAACTGAGTATTTTCTTATTGACTGTGAGTGTTGGTGGTGTGTGTGGGATAGCTTGTTGGCATTGCTGGTTGTTTTTGCAGGACAGGTTCTATCACAATCACAGAGGAAGGAACTCAATTAATTGTGTAGACAGTTGTGAAAGCAGATTTACCCCAAAACTTTTATGGATAAGAAGAGGAAATGAGTAAAGCACAAAAAATATCCAAGACATGTCTACGTTTCTGTTCAACTATTTTGTTGAGATGCACCTAGACAAGCATGATGAAGAATAGTGCTATGTAATTTAAGAAAGTTGAGATGCTCTTTTTCCTTATATTCCATGACATTATCAGCTTGGAAAAATTTAATATTGCAAGAGAATTAAGTTTGAATCATTGTAGCAAAATCAGAATAAATCTTAGACAATTCAAATCTTTGTCAAATAAGATATAACCAAGTGAATATAGAGTAATCGTCCACACAAATATGACAAAATAACTAAAATGACCCATAGATTCATTTGGCGCAGGGGCCCAAACATCATGAATCAAATCAAAAGGGGCAGTAGAAACAAAATCACTAAGGGAAAAAGGTAAAGCTGATTGTTTGGCGAGTTGACAAGACACACAATCAATAGATAACAAAGTAGACACCATAGAACGAAGTCTAGAAACTGAGACATTACCAAGACGAGAATGCCAAAGAGTCAATGGAGAGGTATATGATGTGGAAGCAGTGTGAAAGGTAAGAAAATAAAAAGAAGTAAGCTTAAACAACCGACCAATTTTACGACCTTTCCCAAGGATTTGCTTTGTTTGAGGATCTGGCACATAACAACCAGATTGAGAAAAGAGAATATCAAGACCAAGTTCACAAGTTAACCAATAGATAATAGATTAAGGGTAAGTTGTGGAACAAGATAGGTGTTAGGCAAAGATAAACAAGGAGTAGATACACTACCTACATGACTAACAGGCATCTAAGAACCATCAGCAGCTGTAATAGATGGTAAATGTAAATAAACTAGGATTATGAGTCATGTGTAATAGATGGTAAATGTAAATAAACTAGGATTATGAGTCATGTGGTTACAGTAAGCAATTAAAAAAAAAAAAAAAAGACAAGCAAATTTACCTATAGTGATAAACATGGCAATAGAAGAGCTAGAATCAGATGGACAGAAACAACCTGACTCAATAATTTTTGAAATCACAAAAGCTGATGGAAGATTTAGGGTTTGATTCTAAATCTGCAATAGCAGAGTGAGAAGCATAATTATGAGACTGTTGAGATTTGGGCTGACTTCCCTGCTAATAGTTGTTGCTTGAAGATCTTAGTGGTCAAGTAGGACAATCATTGATGAAATGACTGAATTTCTTGCAGTAATTACAAGTCAACTTCTTAGGTTGAGTAGGACAATCACAAAGGAAGTGAGTAGGTTTCTTACAATAATGACAAGTTAGCTGTTTAGGTCTTAAGTACTAGAATTAATGGTAAAAAATGAGGTAGATGAGACAACCGTGATAACATTGGTCTGAGGTGTCTTTAGGGTGTTGAACCGGGCTTCTAAAATCAGATAAGCAAGAGCAGTATCAAGGACCGGTGGTGCGGATAGATATAGCAAATAAGCACGAGTATTCTCATAGCCAGGATGGAGACGCATGAGAAACTAAATCAAGTGTATCTTGTTCCTGTGTGTAAGTACAAGCTTAGCATCGTCCTGATTCTAAAGTTAACGTTTAGACAGAGCCAACTGATCCTAATAACGAGACATTTTAGCATAATAGTCTCAAACCAGGTGTCCATATTCTTGCTTCATACTAACAAGCATGCTCCAAACCTGATGCTGGGGAACAAGTCCACTAGTAACATAACAACTGCCTAACAAGTCCCAAACATCTTTAGCTAGGTCATAGTTACCAAAATCCTAAC